AGAGAGATTCAAAGTCAAATTTGAAGAAAGCTGAGCAGGCAGAAGAAACAATCAGTGAACCCGATGATAAGGCAATGGAAATCATCCAGTTTGAGGAACAGAAATAAAAAAAGATTGAAGAAAAGTGAGTAGAGCCTAAGTGACCATCAAGTGGACAACATATGCATTGTGGAATTTCTTTTTTGTTGTTGTTGTTTTTTTTGGGGGGGCGGGGTGAGGAGATGGAGTTTCGCTCTTGCTGCCCAGACTGGAATGCAATGGCACGATCTCAGCTCACCACAACCTCTGCCTCCTGGGTTCAAGCGGTTCTCCCACCTCAGCCTCTCGAGAAGCTGGGATTGTAGGCATGCACCACCATGCCTGGCTAATTTTGTATTTTTAGTAGAGGCGGAGTTTCTCCATGTTGGTCAGGCTGGTCTCAAACTCCTGACCTCAGGTGATCCTCCCACCTTGGCCTCCCAAAGTGCTGGGATTACAGGCATGAGCCACCACACTCAGCCTTACATTGTGGAATTTCTAAAGAAGAGGGAGAGAAGGTCAAGAGAGAATAGTTGAATAAATAATGGCTGAAAAGTTTCCAAATTTGATGAAAGGTGAATACAAACACAGTAGCCTAACAAACCCCAAGTAAGATAAAGAGACCTACACCAAAACACATTATAATCAAACTTTCGAAAGTCAAAAACAGAGAATCTTTAAATCGATAAGAGAAAAGCAACTGGTCATATGCCATAAATATTTAATAAGATTATCAACAGGTTTCTCATCAGAAACTTTGGAAGCTGGAAGGACAGGAAATCAAAAGCTGCCAACAGCCAGGAGCGGTGGCTCACATCTATAATCCCAACACTTTGGGAGGCTGAGGCGGGTGGATCACTTGAGGTCAGGTGCTCAAGACCAGCCTGGCCAACATGGCAAAACCCTGTCGCTACTAATACAAAAATTAGCCAGGCATGGCCCAGCTACTTGAGAGACTGAGGTAGGAGAATCACTCGAACCTGGGAGGCAGAGGTTGCAGTGAGCCGAGATCGCACCAGTGCACTCCAGCCTGGGTGATAAAGTGAGACTCCATCATAATAAACAAACAAACAAACAAAAGCTGCCCATGAAAAGGAAAAGGATCAATAAATGGGTATTCCAAAAAGTCAAAAGTCACACAAATATCAAGCCAAAATAAACTGGTTCCCTGACTGGAAATTGAACCCAGGCTATGGCAGCAAAAGCACAGAACTTTAAGTACTGAATTGCAAGGTAGAGCAGACTTTTCTGTGAATTCTGGAAGGGATCCAGAGCAGGCAGTTTGAGCCTATGAAGAATTTTAACTTTGTTTTGGGTCAAATTTTGTTCTTTCATTCAGTCAAGAGAATTTTTTTCCCTACACAACATAGATAATATTGTCAAGAGAATTTTTAAGACTAGCCATGGCACTAGTATGTGCCTTTCTTTTAATTTGTTCTTCCTATCAACTGTTTAAAATAAGAGATCTCTAAAATCTTTTTTTTTTTTAATTCAGGTGTCTAAGGGATCCATCTTCAGTCCACTGTCAACTAGAATTTCCAATGGTATAATTATTCCAAAAGCAATTCAACCAAATAGCCTCTTTATGGAAAGCCCAGGATGTCATTTTCCAAGTTAACTTCCTGGGAAGGTCATACAAGAGACAATCCCAATGATTGCCCTCCAAGAAAAAAGTTCAATGCAAGGAGTAGGCCACAGATGGTTAAGGATGATGTTTGCCTCCAGTAACCCACACATTTGTGGGGGCTTCCAGTCACAGACCTGTGAATCTGTGATACCAGGTAGGTCCTCTTGGGATTGAGCTTTCCTAGGACTAAACAGGCAACAAAAGTTGAGACGACAAAAGCCTTGAAGGGATGGGATTTCTTAAGACAAATCCAAAGAGCTTGACATTCCCAGCCATTTTCAGACAGGCCACCTACTATGACTGGAAAATTACCACCTCTTTCCAGATACCGAAAACCAAGAGAAAGTGCTCCCACTTGGTCACAAGTCAAGCTCTCAAGGACATCAAATAAGATGAGAAGGAACCTCAACCAGTATCCCCTTTTATGACAGAATAACACATAGAGACAAAGACAAAGGAACAGACAATTTCTGGGAAGAAAGGGATTAAACAATTTGAATTGGTACCACAAAGTACCAAAAAGCACACCAGAGTCACTACACCCAAGACTAGTCACACAAATCCTTTTCTCCCATTAATCAAGATTCTGGAGAGGGAAAAGAAAGAAACAGTGATTTTTACTATCCACTTGAACAGATTCCACACAGAGAAGGAGGCCGGGAGCCTGGCTGGTAAAAAAATTCTTACCCTTATGACAGCTGATCAGATCCTGGGTTCTTCACTGCAGCTTCCAGAAGAGCAGAGCTTTGCTATCCTGCTTACAGCTCCAAAACTGTAGAGGTCAACGGAAACCCCCTCTTAACCCTCTGAAGTTTCACTCCAAAATCAAGTCACAAAAGGCAGATTAATTGGAGAAAAGGCATAAAATGTACTAACATGTACATGGGGAGAGTCACAGAGTGATTACCCTACCCTACCCACAATGGGATGCAGAAGCTTATATACCATCTCAAGGTAACAGAATGAATGAGAGCTCAAAGCATGGCCAAAACCAGGTACCATCGGAGTCAGAGGTATATCCATTTATTGTGGGAAAGACAGGTTATGGGAGGGAGAGAAGAGGAGGCTTGGCTAGCAAAGTTGGTCTTAATATGTAAATGAAACCTTACGGGTAGCAGCTCTCAGAAAGAATAAACCCTAAAAGTTTATTTCAGACCTTTACAGGTGTCAGACTTGCAGTGCATCTTTCCTAGATCTGGGCAAAGAAAGACTTGGCTGCATCAATGCAGATTCCCTACAGACGCAAATCTCCCCAACAAAAGACAACTTTGCAGGGCTACTTCTGCAGCTGGCTCTCTGAACAGACATCTTAAAATATGTCAAAGAAATATATTTTGGGGTAAAATATTTTTAATTCCTTGACGTCTACATCCTGATGCACCTGCCGTTTCAACACACCATTGTTGGTGGCAACTCCATTCTTCCCTACACTCAAGCCAAAAAAACAGATTCTCCTTGAGGCTAGTCTTTTTCTCACAGCACACATACAATTTGTCAGAAAAATTCTGTTTCCTGGTTGGTTAATTACAGACTTTGATCTGCCTAATCTTTCTCTTTCTTGGTCTCTGAATTTTGGCAAAGGAGTCTCCTGATACAGGCGGGATCGATTCCAATGAGGAGTCTCAAAACCATCAGACATTTAAGAGCCTTAATCTCTGGGTCGGGGTTTGGGCCACCCTTGAACCTTTCCTTTGGGCCTACCCGTCAAAATCAGCCTGGCCAGGCCTGTCTTCAAGGCGCAGGGGCAGGGCCAGGTCCTCCCGATGCTTCTTGAAGCTTCTCCTGCTAGGTTGGCAGCCAACCTCCCCTTCCCTGTGACCTGCAGAGAAGCTCCAGGGGGCATTTATTCAATTTGCTAGGAGCCCACCAGGCACAGGTGCGAGGTGACCCTGTGGTTCCCACCGCACCGGCCGCCCTCCTTGGTCCTCTGGCTGTCTCTGGCGGGCAGTAACGTTCGGGGTGAGCGTGGGTGAAGATACCCAGTCAGGGAAGGACCGGTAGGGAAGGGCACTAGCCCCTTAGGTCCTTTGCAGTAGGGATCCGAAAAAGGTCTTGAAGAAATAGAACGGGAGAGGTGGAAGTAGATCAAAGGGAAAGAAATCCTAGGAGATTTCCTATCTGAAGGCACCACGAAAAGAAAGGCCGCCTCCTCTAGGCCGGGTCCTCACCTCACTGGTGAACCGAGTTCCAGTCTCCGTTGGAGACCAAATCAGTTGACTTTGGCTTGACTCCTAGCGAAGAAGCCACGCTTTGTCCTCCCCTGTTTAGCTCTTGATCCTGAAGGACTTGATTGTCTCTCTCAGGCTTTCCATGGATTCCAGGGATGCAACTGAGAAGTTTGTTTTTAATGCACTCACTTGAAGTAAGAATAATTTCAAGTATTTTTGCAAAGAAAAATGTTTCCTTTTGCACTGAAGACATTCAGATGTGAGGAAAATCACTCGGCTGGGGAAAACAAATGCTGTTGAGAATGTCTCACAAACATAAATTACACGTCAGCAGGTAGGTTTGACCCTCAGGATGGGCACATTTTAAGCGCACTGTTGGTGGAATTTAAGATGAATCTAGGACATTCATGATTAATATTTTTAGTTTTTTAGGAAAATTTAATATTTTAATTTAAATACACATTCTGAAAATTATATAATCAGCACAAGAAACCGGTTGTATGCCATTTTTACAAACACAGGAAAGAAAGATACTATAATGCCAATGCTTCATTAATGGCAACATTTTTAAAGTACCTTGAGAAAAAAGTTAACCTAGAATTCTATGCAAAAATAAAATTTCAAAACTGTGAAATAAGGACAGTGAAAAACATACAAAAGCTAAAAGAATTCACCAACCCACACTACAAGAAATCTTAAGAGTCCTCCAGGCAGAAGCAAAAGGATACCAGATAAAATGTGGGCCCATACAAAGAAACCAATATTGGAAATGGCATTTAGAAAGCATGTACTATACGTTTTCTTATAATTTAAATCTTTTAAAAATATTTGACATAATAAATAAAAGTAATAATAATGAATCACAAAGCTTATAATGCATAAAGTAAAAATATATAACGCTAGGATAAAGGCCAGAAAAGGAGGTATAATGACACTTGAAAGCAGACTGTGGTAAATTAAAGATGTATCCCAGAAACACTAAAGCAGCCACTGAAATAAGAAAAGGGTTATAGCTAATAAAGCAACAAAAGAAAGAAAACGGAATGAAGTAAAAACTATGTAAACACTATCCTGGAACAACTGCTCTCCAGGCCTCCACCCTATAGAAATATACCAGTGGGCAATGAGAAGTGTACAAGAATGATGCCTGCAGCACTATTTGTAATCATAAAATAATGGAACCAACATAATTTTAAAGATATATGAAAAGGGTTTTATTTATTTAGCAAACAGACTATTGAACAAACAAACAATGGAAGCAAGTCCTTTGCCAAAAAGAACACAGAGGGTCATGATGATGCTACTCCTCCAAGGATTTCAGGGTTCCCAGACGCCTAGTTTTCTGTCTAGTTCTGGAAGATGTTATTCTTGGGGAGCAATAGGTCCTAGTGGTTGGGGCTCTTTCAGGTTCTCTCTCCATTTCCCCATTCTGCTACAATAAATAAACAAACTAAAACAATTCTCACTTCCAGAAGATCCCGCCTGTGCCTCTGCACGAGCCTTTCAGGAGGTCTGGAGGTCTGGTCCGCCGCTCCCAGGCTTCTTTCCCAGCTTTTGCTTTTCCCTTCCCCCGCTCCTGCCCTACAGCCCCAGGTCCAGACCACCGCCCAGCTGAGTCCCCGCGGCTCCACCGCGCAGAAGATGAACCGGAGGGCCTGCCAGTTGCTCGCCCCGCGGGGCGCCGAGAAATCAACGCTTTGTAAAAAGAAGTTCCCCATGGAAAAAATCTCTTGATTTCCACTCTTAGGGCTCGTCAAAGGACTAAAAGCTAAAGGCGACGATGGATTCATTCGGCAAGTCCTAGTCGGGCGCCCTGGTGAGTGCCAGACCCTGCTCCCTGCGAGGGGACCGACGAGCGACCCTCGCCACCATCCCTGCCCTGGTGGAGCCGCCGTGCGGGACACAGGATCCGAAGATGGCAGCGGCAGCTCCGCAGCGGCCCCGAAAGCGACTGGGCGGGGTGGGCACAGGCTCCCTCACTGGGTGAAGGCGGCGCAGAGAACGGGAAGAACCATCCCGGGAGCCCACCCGGCGTTCAGCTTCCCTTGGGACCCCAGGCGGCTCGGGCTGGGTCGCCGACCGGGGAGTTTCTGGGGGCTTCTGAAGCAGGAGAGGGGCAGGGCAGGCGAAGGCCATTCGGCTCTCCGTCTGGCTCCAAAATCTCCTAACGCGCAGGTGTCCAACGTGACCAGAGCGACTCACCGCTCTAATGTCTCTGGTTTTCCAAGGCCTTGCTCAGTCGTCCTGCCCGGCGGGCCCTGAGAATAGAAGGGAAGGAGGAAGTTTAGTGAGTGCGCCCTTCCTGTATCGCCTAGTAAGTTCGAAAGCACTTGTCTCTGTGGCGCAATCGGTTAGCGCGTTCGGCTGTTAACCGAAAGGTTGGTGGTTCGAGCCCACCCAGGGACGCTTACTGCAACTTTTAAAGCATGCGCGCATTGTCAATCACTAGACAAACAGGGAAGATTTTATCTTCCCGGAGTACCAAACCACTAATTTATGACTGATACATGTCAAGGACCAGCCCACCTCCCGGACCAGATTCTTAACAGGTATCTCCTGAAATGGCAGGTTTACACCTGTGTAACTCAAGAATCCTGAAACAGAGACCTAGGAACCCACTTGTGGTGTGATAAAATTCTAATTCAGTCCGTTATATGCTTAAACAAGTAATTTACGTGCCTCCATTTTTTCATATTTTAGTAATAGGAGTCCAGTAGTATCCCCAGGATGTGCCTGGACTTACTGATTGTTCTATCAATAATGTGACCAGTGGAATCAGTCATGATCATAGTGATCCTCTCCATCATTTTTGAAAACAGTATTTTTCCTCAGTTTGTGCATGATTTATTTAACCCTTTTCAAAATGTTTTTGTTAACCAGGCATGGTGGCATGCACCTGTAATCTCAGCTACTCAGGAGGCTGAGGCAGGAGAATTATTTGAACTTGGAAGGTGGAGGCTGCAGTGAGCTGAGATCACTACACACCAGCCTGAGCAACAGAGTGTGACTCCATCTCAAAACAAAACAAAAAAAAAATGTTTTTGAGATGAGGTTGGTTTCATGGTTTTAGGATTACAAAGAATGCTGCAGCCACCATTCTTGTACACATATCTTTGGTCATTGTGGAAATGTCTACACGGCAGATATTTCTATAGTGTAGAGAACTGGATGCGCCATTGCTACATTATAGTGTTTATATAACGCTTCTAATTTGAGTACATTCTGCAAATGTATCTTTCACGGGAGCAATACCAAATAATATTCCAATATGAATATTTACAAGAGGAAAAATGTGCAGATGTGCAACTGAGTTTCGTGCTTCTCCATGGGGCCCATGTTCATAAAATGGTGGCATTAGCTATCTGAGAGTGGAGTTTGTGGCCCTCTGACGTCAAAAGCTGAAGCAGAAGACATGAAAACCCTCACTGCACATTCTCTGTAGTCTGGCCAGAATCATTCCTAGATCAGTAGTCTCTTATCAGGAGGGAATGCTGCTTGCTTGCTTTGTCAAAACCACAAAAGGAAGGGAAAGTGTCAGGCTGCTGGTTGATAACAATAGTGAAGCAAGTCTTTCAAAAGGGTTGGTTTGTTAACCCTTAGGGAAAAAAAATCCTAATTCTTACCAAATGGTGCCGTGCAGTTCCAGGCTCTTGGTGTCCCAAACAAAGAACTGTGCATGACACACACAAAGCAGCAAAGCAAAGCAAAAGTTTATTAAGCACAGTAACACTCTCAGAGTGGAGAGAGTGGGCTGACCTCTGGGAGATGAGATCAGTATTAGTTTGGTGTACTTTGGGTCTTTTCATGTGTGGTTTTTATTCTTCTCTTCACAAGGATGCCTACTCTTCAGCCAGTGTTTGCCTTTAGATTGTTAGGTGGGTTCCTTAGTTACTTTGGCCCTTGTGTGCTTGCACATTGCCTCCATCCCATAATTTTAAGTACATGCATGATATGTAGTCCATATACATGAGTTTTAATGAGCTGATTATCATATGGAGTCAGGTTAAGGATACTTTTTTTCTCGAATGCACATGTCTATCTCTGAGGAGCTGCCCCTTTACTGCTTTGGATATTGCCAGCAATGGGGATCCTTGCTGGGTTTTTTTGTGTTTTTTTTTGTTTTTTTTTTTGTTTGTTTTTTTGGGTTTTTTTTGAGACAGAGTCTGGAGTGCAGTAGTGCAATCTCGGCTCGCTGCAACCTCCGCCTCCCGGGTTCAAGCGATGCTCCTGTCTCAGCCCCCTGAGTAGCTGGGAGTACAGGAGTGCACCACCACACACAGCTAACTTTTTGTATTTTTGGTAGAGACCAGGTATCTCCATGTTGGCCAGGCTGGTCTCAAACTTCTGACCTCAGGCGATCTGCCCGCCTTGGCCTCCCGAAATGCTGGGATTACAGGCGTGAGCCACCGCACCCAGGCGTGCTTACTTTTTTTAATCTTACTTTTTGTTTTGGCTACTCAACTTCTGCCTTTTATTTTCCTTCTTGCTCTCCCACCCCATCACCTTGCTTCTGTTTCTGCTTTTACTAATTCTGCCTTTTATCCAACTTCCAATTCCCTCTGCTGTTCTGCCTATAATGGCAGTTAGTGAGGGAGGGGTTTTAAGGGGGCATGTCCGACATCCTATCCTGTCACAGCCAGAAACAGCTTTCAAGGCTTCTCTGAGGTCCTGTCAGCCAAGAGGGAGTCCATTCAGTTGGTTGTAGGGCCTAGGGCTTATTTTTATTTCTCAATCCTGACAAGCGAAGGCTGGATTAATGCAGATTTTCTGCAGGTGTAACTTTCCCCTATAAAAGACAGTTTTGCAGAGTTACTTCTGTTTGCTGGCTCTCTGACAGCCATCTTAAAATATGCCAAAGACACATATTCTGGGGTAAAATATTTTGATTTTTTCATCTATCTACAGCTTCACCATGCTGACAGCCTCCAGTCCACCCAGCATACCTGAAGTCTTTCTTTTTAAAAACCTTTCCCAGCCTTCTGACTGCCTTCAAGTCTCTACCAAAACACAAGTAACAGTGGCTGACTCCCTCCTATAGCAAGCTCAGAATAAATAGCTTTTGCTTTTTTTCATTTGGTTGGTCTTCATTTATTTGCAGAAGCTTCAATGTAGAGTTGACAAGGACTCCATCTTTAACCAAACCTTAGTGCTTTCCTCTGAGCCCTTTTCTCTATTGGTTTCTGAAAGTCCAGTTTCAGAAAATAATACTGTTGAGTCTAGCTTAGCAAAAGTCCTCCCAACCACCTTTGATAGCTAATCAAGTTCCTCTTAGTAATTTTCCATCCACTGACTTTCTTATCTTGCAATTGGCTATAATCTTCAACTCTTCCTGCTGTATTTGAGGTGGAGCTCAGCTCTCTGCTGGTCTCTCTTGCCTACTGTAGTACATACAATCCATCTCATGTTTTTAACAAGTGTCCAGGGTAGTCCCTCTAAAACTACTTTTGCAAAATTCTGACAATAAGAGAAAGCTGACATGGCTGACTCCATCTTGGTTCTAGCCTCACAGGCTGGCTGTCTTTGCTCATTCCTGTGCAATTTCTCCCAAGCTCTCTTTGGGAAAAATTGAGTTTATAGTTTAAATAAGAGGTCCCCAACCCCCAGGGTCACAAGACAGGTACTGGTCCATGGCCTGTTAGGAACCCAGCCAAACAGCAGGAGGTGAGCTGCAGGCTTTCAAGCATTACCCCCTGAGCTCCGCCTCTTGTCAGATCAGCATAGGCTTTAGATTCTCATGGGAGCTCAGACCCTATTGGGAACTGAGCATGTGAGGGATCCAGACTGCGCCCTCCTTATGAGACTGTAACTAATGCCTGATGACCTGAGGTGCAACAGTTTCATCCAGAAACCATCCACCACCCCCTTCCATGGAAAAATTGTCTTCCATGAAACCAGTCCCTGGTGCCAAAAAGGTTGGGGACAGCCAAAAATGTTGGTTTAAATGATAACCTTCCCCAAAACTAAATTACCCCTGTAAAACTAATGAAAGGCCACCAAGTTAGGAGGATGAAAGGGGCGTGAATTCTGCTAAGATGTATGCCTCATTAAATAGTTACCAGTCATTATTCCAGAGGTCACAAGATTTGCAGCTTCCCCAATTACTGCTGTGAAGAACATCACTACTGTAGAACCTAAGATTGGCCTCTTGAGATTTCTTTTCACGCTTTTGCATTTCTGACTACTGGATGGCACCATTTGGCCCGAAAATCAACCAGTCCCTTAGCCCCCACCCAGAAGCTGACTCAATGCAGGAGGGCCAGTTTCCACTTCCCTGTGATTTCATCCCTAACGATCCGCACTGCCCAAACCCTAGCCCCCCCACCAAACTATCTTTGAAAAACCCCTTACCTCCAAGCCTTCAGTGAGATTGATTTGAGTAATAACTCTGTCTCCCACAGGTTGTGGCTGGCCTGTGTCAATGAAACTCTTTACTGCAATGCCATGGTCTCCATGAATTGATTTTGTGTGTACAGTGGGCAGGAAGAACCCATCAGGCGGTTACATCTGCAGGATGGTGCCAGTTCTTTCCACAAAGGCTGGTCAGATACCCAGAAAGTATTTCTCCACTACTACCTGGACAATGTGTCTCCCTGTCAGTCTCCAGGGAATAGGGCCTGGATCAAGTATTTAGTATTCAGCAGTTGCTACACTGTCACCTAATCCCTCATTTTCAATATTTTGCCATGCCTTCCAGTGGCCTAACTGGTCGCCATGCCACAGGATCTTTACTTTATGGTCTCCAAGGAGAACTCTCCACTGGATGTTTTGTGATTTGAGCAATGGAATAGAATCCGATACTGGTGGGCTGGGGGAGGTTCCCAGACCTGGTTTGACCTTGATCATAGCTGTGGTGTCCAGGCTCTTGACACTATCTTGAGAATGAAGTCAAGGATGAGTCAGCAAATAGTGAAAGAAGAGATTTATTGCAAAGCAAAAAGTACACACTCAAGAAAGGGGAGCTCGGGCATATCCGAGAGAGAACAATGGGTTCTGGGGTTTCATCTTGATGGGTTTCTTTAACCAAAGAGTGGAATATTCATGACAATTCCTGGGTAAAGGCGGAGATGTCTCAGAACTGTGGTGTCATCCATTTTTACATCAAATATTGGTCTCAGAATTGTCATGGCACTGGTGGGTGTGTGATTTAGTATGTTAATGAGCATATAATGAGGGCCTAGGTAAAACCTGTGTCAAATCCAGCACCACAT